AGCCGGGGGCCAAGCGCAGCCTGCCCCAGGCAGAAGGCCACAACGGCTTGCCCCGGGCAGAGGACCGAGGGCAGCCCGCCCCGGGCAGAGGGCCGTGACGGCTCACCCCGGGCAGAGGGCTGAGGGCATCCCACCCCGGGCAGAGGGCCGTGACAGCTCGCCCCAAGCCAGGGGCCGAGGGCAGCCCATCCCGAGCAGGGCAACACCCCCCGGGAGCTGGCTGGTCACCCATTTTTGATAATATTTTATAAGTTCCTTGTTTTTCAATGCTGTGTAGTATTCTATTGTGTGACTATATCACAACTTCTCTATTTATTTGTTGATGGACACTTGGGTTATTTCCATCTCTTTGCTATTGTGAACAATGCATCAATAAACAGAGATGTGCATATATTTGTTTGGGTAGCAGTTCTGGTTTCTTTAGGGAATATTTCTAGTAGTCGAATTGCTGGGTCAAATGGTATTTCTATTTCCAAAAAAAGCACCATACTGTTTTCCATAGTGGTTACACCATTTTACACCCCCACCAACAGTGAATAAGGGTTCCAGTTTCTCCGCAACCTTGACAGCATTTCTCATTTGGGCTCTGTTGAGCTTACTGGGGTGAGATGATATCTCATAGTTGTTTTGGTATTTTGCTGATTTTTTAAGCTAGAGTCTTTTCTGTTCTTCTACATATTAGTTGAGCTGTCTTATCTATGCTTACAGACTCAATTGACACTTATATACTGTTGTTGCTGTTGTTAGATGGTAATTGCTATGACTTGTAGTAACCCCATGAACCACAGACTTGAACCCTGCCCTACCCTGCGCCATGCTTATGATTGCTAATGTACTGGAGCCCATTGTTATAGTCACTGTGTCAATCGATCTCGCTGCGGATCTTCTTCTCTTTTCCTGACACCCCACCTTTCCCAGCATGATGCCAATCTCCAAGGACTTGCCCCTCCTGACAACATGCCTAAAATATGTGAGGTGAAGTTTCTCTATTGTAATACACAAAGAAGCCTCAAATCCAATCCCCCAATTAAAAAATGGCCTTCTGAGCTCTAACAAATATGGCTACTATCTAACTGGTGTCCATTTCTGCATTTCTCCCAGTCGTCATTCTGAAGACGAGGTAATCTTTCTGGAACACAAGTGTGATTCTGTTAAGTGGAGGTCAATTGTCTTTGACATCTAAAACCTGTATTGGGCCCTTTTAGAGAAGGATCTTCCCTCTTCAGATTCATCTCTAGACTTGCTCTTTAGTCCTTGGCTCAAATCTACTTTCCCAGCTTTCAGACTTATTTTCACTTTCCCCAGAGTCTTTCGTTTCTGGTATTGGTTTGCAATCTGCTTTTTCTTTGAGACATGCTTTGTGTGTGGTCATGTCTTCTTCTTTCTTGAGATGTGTTTTCATATCCTTTTTCAACCTTCCAAGAAAACATGAAATTGCACTTCTGTGTTCTCTTTGGAGAATCTTGTTTCCCAGCGCTGTCTCTACAGTCCCACAATGTGTTTGTTGTTGGAACATCTCCCAAGTCTATGCTAACAGGAGCTCTGGTGATAAGGAGCTGCATTGCCAATCCCAAGGCATGCAGTTCAAATGCACCAACTGCTCTTTGGGAGAAAGATAAGCAATCTTTTGTTTGACTTACAGCCTCTGAAAACCTGCTGAAGGGTGAGTTATGAGTTGATTCCAACTTAATAGTACTTAACAGCATTAAATAATAAGCCTTTTCTAAGATGTTTGGGTAACCTACTCTGTGGGGTTGTATTACTAAGCAAAAAGGTATGCCTCTGCCAGTTTGAATCTATCAATGGCTCCTTAAGAGAAATAAAGGATAGTCTCCTCTTTAAGGTTTACAGCCCTGGGAACTGAAGGAGGGTTGCTATAAGAACTGATGTGATGGCATGGGTTTGAATTTTGTTCAAACTTGTGCTCGGATGATAGAAAGGAAAATCAAAGGAGAATTGATGTCTTTGAATTGTGGTGTTGTCAAAGAGCACTGAGTATATAGTTGTTGTTAAATGCTGTCCAGCCGTAGACAACTCAAAGCAAACCTATGAATGAAAGACCTGAACACTTATATAACTTTTATCGTTTCTCCACGTTCATAGAGTTTCTGGAGGCAAGCTACATCAGAAGTGGATGCCACTCCTGCTTCCAAGCTTGTTTTAATTGGGGAGCTCCACTAAACACTGACCACCATGGGTAACCATAATCACATTTGACACATCACTCTCACTGTGTTTAGCATCAAAGCAACCACGAGTTACCTCTTTACAGCAAATGGACAGACCAGTGCTATGCCACTTAGAAGAATGTTTGAACAAAAACAATTAAAATGTGTTTTTAAATAGGAGGCCAAATAAAATAATCTCACACCCATTAGTGAGTCAGCATTCCACCATAATCCTCACCAGAACCTTCAAACAAACCTCTGTAGAATACGGCATCTGCAGACGACTTCCAAACTGGATGGACTGCCAAATAAAAAAACAAAAATCAAAGTACAGAGAAATCTGTATTGGATCAAGCTCAGCCAGAGTGCTCTTAGCAAGTTAAAATTGTGAGACTTTGTCTCATGTGATTTGAGCAAGCTGTCAGGAATGACAAGTTCTTGAAAGAGGACATCATATTTATAAAGGTGGAGCATTGACAAAGGAGAGGAAGTTGCTTGAGGAGATGGGTTGACATAGTGACTCAGACAATGGGCTTAAGCACAGGAGATTGTGAGGATGGTGCAGGACCTGACAGGGTCTGGATCTGTTGTACACGGAGTAGCTATGAGTCTGAGTTGAGTCTATGATGCCTAACAACAACAGCCTATGTCTGGCTCTGGGCTGCTAACTGACCAGCAGTTTGAATCTACCAGCTGCTTCAAGGTGAAAAAAAAAAATTGAACAGTCTTCTCAGCTTGAAAAACTCAATGGAGGGTGGCTCTAGGTTGGAAGTTACTTTCTGGCCATGCAGGCCCTGGTGGCACAGTGCTTAAGTGCTTGGATGTTAACTAAAAAAAAAGTCAGCTGTTCAAATCTATTAGCTATTTCAAAGAGAAAAAAAATGTAGCAGTTGCCTTCTGCAAAGATTTAAGGCTTTGGATACATACATTCTTCTTTGTAGGGACACTCCTAAAGGATTGCTGTGAGTCAGAACTGGCTCCATGACAGTGGATTAGGTTTGGGTTTTAGCCCTAAGTTAAGGAGCTGCTAGGAGTTGGAATTCAGGGAGATGGGTGTCCTAAAGAGCCATGAGAGTAGAATAGCTAAATATCTGGCTACGAACTGAAGGGTGAATGGCCCGAATTTACTAGTCACATTATGAGTGAAAAGTGTGGCAGTCATTGCTGTAAGGAGTTACAGTGTTAAAAACCCTATGGGGAATACTACCTTGTCCTGTAGGGGTCACAGGGAGTTGTAATCCACAAGCAGGCTTTTTGGTTTTTTAAAGATTGGCAGGTCGAATACAACAACTATTCTGTGGAGAAACATGGACAGTACACTTCCTTAAGTATTTTAGGCTTTTAATTGGATAAAAGGTGACTGCTGAGCTAGAATTGATTCCGCAACAGCAATGAGCATAGTTTGGGGGTGGGGTTATGCTAAATAGTCCCTGGATGGCGTAAAAGGTTAAGCCTTGGATTGTTAATGAAATAGTTGGTGGTTTGAATCTGCTCAGAGTTGCCTCAAGAAGGTCTGGTAATCTAAAAAGCCAGAGCCTTGAGAACCCTGTGTGTTCTTTTACTCTGAAACGAAGCAAGGTTCCCATGAACGGGACTCCCCACCAACCGATCACTGGGAATCTCCCTACAATGTAGATTTTGCTTAGTGTGCTAAGTAGTTAGCCCCACACCTTTCACCTAGTTGCTCATTGTAGGATGTTTTTCTGGTGTTCTTTCAAGGGGTAGTTTATTCGTGTGGTAAAAGAGTTAGAAGAAGACAGGAGTTACAGATAATAGAAGAAAGGTGTTCTTTGCACTCCTTGTTCTCACAATGCCATGTCCTTCCATTAGCAGTGAAACTCGCAATCATTTCATTCCACTAATCCTTAGAGACTTTCTAGACATAAATGAAACTGAGTACCTCCTCATGAAAGTGAGCTATGTGCCGAGGAGTCAGACTCCACCTATAGCTGACCCTTGATTGGGTTTTCTGAGGCTGTAAACCACATGGTAGGAGATGGCCACCTGTCCGCAGTAGAGCAGCTGGTGAGTTTGAACCACCTGCCTTTGGCTGTGAAGCGCAACTCCTTACCACTAGACCACCAGAGATCCCTAAAGACTAACAACTATTTTTCCTCCTTACAGCAAGAGAACCACCTAGAGACCCCAGCCTTTCGCGCACCCTGAGGCCTGCACCACCGCGGGCCGGGGCGGTGCCTAGGGGGCGCCCAAGAGCCGCAGCGTGCCCGGCAGCGCCCTTTCTGCAGCGCCCTCTGTCGGTACGCGCTCCAGCTGTCCGGGCGCTTCAACAGGTGACCGGAAATAGAACCGTGCACAAGCCTGTTGCTTAGCAACCGAGGCAGCTGGGACGCTGGACCGGCCCAACCCTGCGGGAGGAGACAGGGAGCTGCTGGAGGGGTCCTCAGACGCCGCCTGTATTTCCTGAGCGTCCTCCGGGGGCTCGGAGCTAAGCGACCTTGCCTTTGCCGGGTGCTATCAGCACTCCTCGCAGCCATGAGCAGCGAGCAGGTGAGAGGGCGCCCCTCGCTTCGCTCCCCGCCGTCTCCTCCACTTTGCGGACTAAAGCTGACACTTGGTCCCCGGGACACCGCAGCGTACACCCCTTTCACCCCTCTTATCACTTGAGATACTGGGTGCTGTCCGCTAGCGCTGCTTTATGCTTTCTTTCCAACCGTTCGCCCTTGGTGTTGCCATAACAACCAAACATTTCTGGCTTGGGGAGTGCCCGCGGTTTGGAGACCCTGAATGCCTCCCCTGTGCGAGTCATGGGTGTGTTAGGGTGGGAGCTGGCGTGGCGGGGGGCTGCCAAGGATTTGGGAGTGGAATGAATATAGATAGATAGATAGATAGCAGCTCTCCAGCCCAACTTGTGTGCCTTTGGGCAGATCATTTGATCTTTCTAAGCTTGAATCCTCCTTTGATGCAGAGAGGAAATTAGAATCTTTCCTAAGGTTTGCTGTGAGGTTCAAATAAGATTCTGTAGGATATTTCACTTTAGGTAAAATAGTTTGGTATGAGGCAGATGAAACTACTTAAAAAATTCCTATGATAAGTAATAAAAAAAAGATGCATGTTGCAATAGTAACTTTTAAGAAAACTCTCCCTATTGTAAGAACCAGGTGCAATCACAGTGAATATAAAACAGTAAGTGTGGTCGGATTTTTAAATTACAAAGCAATGAGGAGGTATTAAGCATGAACCTTATTTTGGCTCGAAGGAAAAGCATTTAGCAACATGGTGATGGGTAGAAGAAAGAGCTTTGTATGAATTCTGGCAGTGAATGGAGAACAGTTTTTTAATTAGCAAATTTCACTTTGTTTTTTGTTTTGACATTCATCTACAATACTTTTCTCCTTCAGTACTTTATAATTCTTGGAGTTTCTTTTTTTGTGACTATTTAGTGCATAAATTATGAAGAGGAAAATGTCAAAATACTAATCCATTAATTGATCAAATAAACAGTATTTAAATGCCCAAGAAAACTTAGTTTCCAGGTTTTTATCTAAAGTTTAGCATTGTTGTTGTTAAGTAGGGTCGGCCACTCCTTCCAAGCCAGTTTTAGTTGGGAGACACACGAAAACCAGGCCCTAGGGCCCAAAAGCCTTTTCAAAGGCAAGGCCAAATCCTATCATCTCACACTCTACTGTGAGCAAGAGCCACACCCTAATCTCAACCCCAAACTAGAAAACACACTTCTGACATAGTGAGCACAAAATCCTCAGACACTCTGATTCATATAGCAAAGTTTTGTTGGTTATGTGCAAAAAACCCCCCAGACACTCTGATTCCCGTATTTAAGTTTGGTGGTTCTGTGCTATGAACAATGGATCTGAACCCTGCCCTAGCCTATACCATTCTCACCATCTCCAGCACACCTGAGCCCTTTTGTACAGTCATGGTCAGTCTGTCTAATTGAGCATCTTCCTCTCTTAAACTGACCCTGCACCTTTCCAAGCATAATGAGGGAGCCAAGGACATATTTATTGTGTGCCCTCCAATCAGAACTGACATGGCTGACCCTCCAGTGGGGGATTTCAGAAGCAGATTGCCCATCTTTCTCCCAAAGAGTGACTGCTGGATTAGAACCTTGCCTTATGGGTGGGTTGGCAGTGCAACTCCTTTCCTATCAAAAAGAACAAATGAACAGGCGAAAATGAAAACAAATTCAGAGATAAGTAAGTGAAAAACAGCAGTTGACTAATGTGCCTGCTTTGTGAGTTTTTCCTATATGATATTCCAGTAATCAGTGTAATTGTTAGAAACTATTTTTTATCATGTAAAGATTTGCTCTCATTACATCTCTATATATTGAGCTTTTTTTTTTCTTGACGCCTAATTAATCTCTGTCCTGACCTTGATCCATTTTCTGCCTTGATGTTTCAGATGCACTTTTGCCTCTGAAGAGCTGTTGTTAGGTGCTGACCGCTAGCGATCCTCGCAATTATTAGTATGAGACCCTATTCTGACCACTGTGATTCATCTCATTCAGAGTCTTCTCCTTTTAATCGATGCTGTCTGGCGGTATAGTCTTTTTAGGGACTTGTACTGCTAACTCCAAGATGATTCCTCTCTGGGGTTCACATCCACCAATGACCCAGAGAGAAAGATAGGCAAAGTCAACCCCGGCTATTTACAGCCTCCGAAAACCTACTGGAGGGTCACTTACAAGCTGATTAGAACTGGACGCCAATGTGTTATGTACTCTTCCTAGGGCTGGCCCCTCCTGATAACATGTCCAGGGTATGTGAAATGACGTCACCATCCTCGCCTCTAAGGAGCACTCTGCACTTCCTCCAAGAAATTTGTTCGTTCAGGCAAAACCACAGTTCAAAAGCATTCTTTTTCTTTGCTTTTCCTTATTAATTTAAAATGTATTTTTCCTCTTAGGTGGTTTTTTATTCATTATCCAGCTTTTTCACTTGCATATGACACTATTGAAAATATAAAGACGTAGTTCAGATGCACATTAGTCTTCCACGTTTCACCTTTGCTTTTTAGCACTTTGAAAAGGTCCTTTGCAACACATTTATCATATGGAATGTGTTTGATTGCTTGACTGCTGCTTCTCTGGACGTTGATTTTGGGGACAAGTATAATGGAATCCTTGAGAACTTAAATCTTTTTTCCACTTACAAAGGTATTGCTTATTGGTCTGGTTGTAAGGATTTTTGTTTTCTTTTTGTGGAGGTATGATCTGTACTGATGAGCTTTAATCTTTTTTAGTAAATGCTTTAAGTCCTGTTTGCTTTCGGCCAAGTGTTGCTTATTGTTCCAGCCATGAAGAATTTTGTGTGTGTGTTCACACGTAATCCGTAATGAAGGCTGTGTCTTCTATCTTCAGTATTGTTGTTGTTGTTGATTGCCATGGAGTCGAGCATGACTCACAGCAACTCTATGAACAAAAGACCAGAAGCCTTTTTTTTTTTTTCTGTGATGAGACCAGGGAATAAAAGTCACAGATTAGGTCCATTGGTGATTAATTTTATAAAATATAATGCATGAGAGGACGGGGGCACAGGGGTGAGGGTGGAGGGTAAGGGTGGTTAATCAAAACATCACACAATTGGATGGGTGGAGGGAGGGCGGAGTAAAAGCAAGGGGAAAGATCCAGTGTGAAAAACAATGTATATGAACTGCATTGGTAAACCAGTATGAAAGACAAATTTTACTTGACATTTAAAAAAAGCGTAATGCATGGGAATGACTGTATGAAGCACAATGAGAATGACTGAGAGAGTGAAACACAACTTAGACAAACTTTGTAAGCAAACCTGTATAAAAAAAACATTTAAATATTTTTTTTTATTGGGAAAAACATATTGGGGGTACAAGGAGGTGAGGGTTGGGGGCAGAAGGGTGAGGATGGGCTAGGATGCAGTTGCAGAGCTGCACAGTTTGGTTGGTGGGGGGAGCAGGTGAAGGAAATGATGAGGGTCCAGTGGGGACCAGATGCTACAGAGGAATG